TTCATTACAACCCTAGTCTGAAGACTAATCTAACAGCTTGAGTTACATGGTTTAAATAGGAATAGTTAAAACGAAATTTGACATAATTAAAAAAATATACTGCTGAAAAATTATTTTTCATTGGCGAAATAGTTAAATTAGATTTAAATGTGTTTTTAAGATTCACTTTCTTAAAACAACTGAAAACAAAACGACTGATAAATAAATAGTAAAGAAGTTTCGGGGCTTTTTTGCGACAATCTACCTTCTTAAATGCAAACAAATCAATGGACTCCGATGTTATAGAAATTATTAATGGCCACATTGACACAATTAAAAAGTATGACTTGTTGATCTCTCGTTATGAAAATCCTTATGCAAGAACTTTTTTTGTAAGTTTTATAAACAATTTATATTTATTTGTAAACGTTAGTATGTTTGTTTAACAGTAGGTATTCATCTTTGCTACAATAGTGTGATTTATTAACTAAATAGTTATTTTTTTATTTTAAATGCATTCGAACTTATTTAATTACACATGCTAAAGAAAATTAGTGGAACAGAGCTGGTCAAAACCACTGCATATGTTATATCGCGCCGCTGCTATTTTTTAATGTCAAAAATAAATATGGATGGTATAGGAAATTTTGTAAAACTTCCATTCAGAAAATCCTCGATATGTAAAGTTGCTCTGTGTAAATCCAATTTTGATTTATGAATGTACATTTCAAATGCTAACTATTTTACCCTAGTTTTTTGTGGTTACAAATCAGGTTACGATACCAGACAATCAGGATACGAATGTAGAAGATGATGTTGCACAAGAACAATTGCATGATAAACAAGCGGTTTATCATGCAATTGTTCTTGGGGACTAGGAAGATTTTCGATAGGGCATATACCAGAGAAATCAGTTGTCCAAAATATGAGTTTATTAATTTTGCTAGCAACCTTTAACTTAATCTTAATGTAAAATTTTTTTTTCTGCTAATGAGATTGAATTTAAAAAATATTTGATAAAAATTGTTACAATAAAATTTCCACTGCAAAAAGCTTGATCATTTAATTTTTTTTAATTATTGAAGCATAAACAAGTATAGTGCATGAACATTTTTTTTTCCTAAATCCCCACTTTATGAAAACGTTTTATATAAGTTTATAACTTTAAATAAAGTTTTTGAAAATAAAAGTGTAGTATAAGTAGTACAGTATAAAGGTTTATAAACATTATAATAGCTATAAAAAATATTAAAAATAAGACCAGGTCTTTTATATCTTTTATATATAAATTTAATTGCTTTTATAACTATATCTATTTACATATTTAAAGGCCTATATAGCTCTTGTTACTTATATATAGATAAAAAGTTATAACTAGTTTTGTGACCAAAACTAAAAATTTTAACTATTTAAACAAAAAAAACCGTAACTAAAATTACCCGACTAACTTTTTAGTCTAACTAAAATTACCCGACTAACTTTTTAGTCTAACTAAAATTACCCGACTAACTTTTTAGTCTAACTAAAATTAGTCGACTAACTTTTAAGTTAACTAAAATTAATCAACCAAGTTTTTAGTTAACTAAATATACCCGACTTTGTTTTTAGTCAAACTAAAGAATTTTATAAATATATAATATAAATAATTTGGGTTCATAATATCATTTCTATTAGAACTTTTGAATAAGTTTGCTTATGCATAATCATTTTACGGCATAAAACCGCAAAAACAAAAATATATCAAAATAATTTTCTTTCAATTTTCAATGCCGAAGGTTTAACGAGATACTTCAAGAAAATATTACTTAAAATTCGAAAAAGTAAACATGGTAAAACATAAATATCTTTAGAATTGAATAAGTTACCAAGGCCAGCGCAAAAGGGTGAGGGGATGGGGTGGTTGGTTTTGTGCGTGACATACCATCAATGAACTTTCAGCTTATTTAGTAAGCCAATTTGACTCTTTTAGATAAGTAAGTCGGCAAATGTAGATTTTCAGAACAGTCACTTGGTAATTTTAAAAAAACAAGGAATTTTTTTCCTTTTTCTAGTCAGCTAATATTTTAACGGCGCTCTCAACGTGTTACCTACTCGTGCCGGTGACGCGAAATAAAATAACTCCCCGAAAAGTTTACTCCCGGTTAAAACATTTTAATTCCCCGGTTGATCTTTTTCGAAATAAATTAACCCCGGGAGTTAAATTATTTTAAAACATGGCAAAATAAATTAACCAGGGGCTTAAATATTTCTAGCCCCCATCGTAATAAGTTAACCCCTTTTAATTTATAACAATTTATTTACTTTCTCTTGCAATAATGTATGAGAATTATAGTCTATAATCTCAAATATTATTGCAAGATAAATAAACTCTATAATATTATTATAGAGTTTATATAGCGAACAAGTCAGCTATCTCAAAAATATATATATATATTAATAATAATAATAATAATAATAATAATAATAATAATAATATATATATATATATATATATATATATATATATATATATATATATATATATATATATATATATATATATAAATTAGTAGAAAATCACTTAACAAAAATTTTTTTTTTTTTAATTTTATTTTACAATGTGTTTCATCAATGAAGACTCGTCAGAAATTTCTGATGAGTCTTTATTGATGAAACACAGTGTAAAATGAAAAAAAAAATTTGTAAAGTGATTTTCTACTAGTTTATAATTACTCTGTTCTTTTAAGAAAGTTGAGCACTTTATTTTGTTGAATACATTTTTAAAATTATTTAAACACACACACACACACACACACACACACACACACACACACACACACACAAGGACAAAGCTCTACGACCAGCACGATTTGAATCACCTACAAACTTACCATCAAGTAACCAAGAATTTAAACATTGGTTTAAAACTTTTGAATATTTTTTAGATGTGTTACCTCAAGAAAACATTGACATACTCCTTTATCAGTGGTACAACTTATAATGGAATCCAACAACGACTTTTCAAAATAAGCCATAACATTAGAGATTATGTTTGACGAAACTATTGAAATATCTTTCAAAGCAAAATAACACTAACTCAACAGCTGCATCTATCTTAAAACCAACATTAGCAATTACTACTAGTTGTATAAATCCAATTTTTCAAAAGTCTGACTGTAAACTAATAGTCTCAAAATCTTGCCTCTACAGTGCTGAAGACAGAAAAATTTTTAGCTCTGAAGTACAACGCCTTTGCAAAGAAGGAATTATCGAACCTTCAACATCACCATGGAGATCACAAGTCATTGTAACAAACAAGAGATCAAAAAAGTGCCTAGTCATAAACTATAGTTAAACTATCAATTTTTTTATATGTCTTGATGCCTACCGTCTACCACAAGTAGTTGAACTTGTAAGCAAAATTTTGCAGTATCAATACTTGAACACCATTGATTTGAAATCAGCCTATCACCAGATCCCAATTAAACAAAAATATCGCCTGTTTACTGCATTTGAAGCTGACAGAGGTTTACATCAGTTCATGTGTATGCCTTTTAGTGTGACAAACGGAGTAACTCAAAAGTTAGAAGTAATTTTAAAAAACAGTGGACAATTTTATTGCTGATGAGATATTGAAAGACTTTTGCTTATCTTGATAATTTGACAATCTGTAGAATGATGTAAAAGAATCATGACTACAACTTTAAAATGCTTCCTTGAGACATCCAGTGAGTCTCGCCTTGCCATGTTCATGAAGGTTGAATATGATATTTATCAAGATGATCAACTCGAATGCGCACGACTCCAAATCGGTTTGATCTTTGAACAATAGACTACTTAATACTTAATAATGTCGGGGAGAATGTGATGAAATTAATCATTATTATTATTGTTTTATAATATTTCTTATTGTTTTAGGTAATAAAAAAATAAAAATAAATTATTCAGTTATTGCCATTTATCCTTTAAGTCCACATCGAGCTAAAACAATCTTTTAAATAGTTTTACGCAGAATAATAACTACTTCATTTAATTTAAGTAGCCAGTTTATGTAGGTTAAATATTTGGTTTAAAATTTTCAACTGAAAACAACAGGTTTAATGCAATCATTTTTTGCGTCCCGTAAGTAACATAGCATATAATCAACTATAATTCCTATAATTATAATAATTGAACAAAATTTCAATAAACAGGAAAACGAATAAATGATTTTGGGATGATTCATATGTAAACATATAATCTGTTATATGTATATATATATATATATATATATATATATATATATATATATATATATATATATATATATATATATATATATGTATATATATATATATATATAAATATATATATATATATATTTATATATATATATATATATATATATATATATATCAATAATTTTAAATGCATTCTATAAGATAGAGTGCTGAATATTCTTAAAAGAACAGAGCAAGAAATTAAAAATAATCAATTTTAGCTTAAAACATTTTTTTAAATAACAGTCTAGTTCAACGGGGCACTAGGATTCACAATTAATAAAATGTTTAATTACGATATAATAATATCTATCGCCTTAATAAAGCTTCCTCGTGTGTAAAATTTTTATGCGAAAGATTATTTCTTTTTTCAAGCACTAAATCTTGCTTTAGTACACTAAATATTTAGTCGACTAATTTTAGTTAGCTAAAAAGTTAGTCAGGTAATTTTAGTTAACTAAAAAGTTAGTCAGGTAATTTTAGTTAACTAAAAAGTTAGTCGACTAATTTTAGTTAGACTAAAAATTTAGTCAAGTATTTTTAGTTAAACTAAAAATAACCTTATAAGGTTATAGGGATGGGAGTTATAACTCCCATCCCTAGTTATAACGTCCTTTTAATTTATATAAGTTTTTAAATTTATATCAATTAAAATTACATTAACTATCAAAAGAAACTTTTTGACAAGATCTAAAAGTTTAATAAACGTTTACTTATACTAAAAATTAACGTCTAATTAACGTATATAAAACTGAACGTTTTATATACGTTAATTAGACTAGATTTAAACGTAAATTAGACCAAATCTAAATGCTTTACATACGTATAATATTCCTTTAATAGACGTCTAAAATACGTTTGAATATACATGTTTTATGAACGTTTGTTCCAAACGTTAATCTGGAATTCATTCTAAACGGATAATCAACGAAATCTAAACGCTTTGTCGAAACGTTGTTTGGACGTTTAATAGACGTTTGTGTGTTTACTGGATAGCTGCAACATTATCTGCTAACTACACCTGTTTAACTTGTAGTTCATTTACATGTAGTACACAAGTAAGATATAAAAAACTAAAAATTAAAAAAAATTTAATATAAACCACTGGTTGATGTCTGAGGTACAGTATTGACAGCATTCTTTTGTATCCCTTTAAAATAAAAATGAAAAATGAAGTTTCTTTGAAATCTACTAAAATAAGAGTTATAGCAAAATTGTTTTAAGAATTTTATTTTTTTAGAACAGTATCCAAAAAAAAATGTTCTTACCATTTTCAAGATCAATTAAATGTCTACCAACTTTTAGTATTTCTAGTAATGCTGGTGGAGCTTGATACACATTTTGGTTAATGGCTTGACTATGTCCCATATGTTGGTAAAAAAAGCTCTCTTTATTGTGGTGGTAAATTCAACATAGCAAATAGAGTGCTTACTCTGTGACGATTAGATGTTGCAGTAAGTTTATTTGGTTTTATTAAGTTGTTTTTTATTTTCATTCATATGTAATGCAGTGCATGCCAACCTGAAACACGATTGGTACTATTTTTTGTGCTGGGGAAAAGATATAGATTATTTTCCAAAATACCAGCTTTTTTCCTAATCTTTAAATCAGCTAGTTTTCTAAGGACTGGAATTGAATCTAATGGAATTAATACTGGTACTAAATAGTTGTTTCCCTAAAGAATAAGATAAATAAAAGGCAAGAAAAAATTAAAATTAAGTTCCATAAAAATTACACAAAAAAGAACTTTTTAGTTTAGTTAACTTAGTTTTAACGTTATTGCATGATTTTAGGTTTTATTAACTTAAGTTTTTAAATTATTATACTAACATTCTTTGAAGTTATAACTACTATTGGCATTAGTACTAATAGAAAAACATAAAAACATTATTTTTATATTATTTGTTTTAGATCCTTTGTTAAGGGGTTTTGTTTCTAAATTTATTAAATTAAAAATTTTATAAATATATTTATATTATTAAAATGTTTTTTATTTATTTAATATCTCATAAAATATTAAACTGAACTTATAATATAACTTAAATATACAAATTATCAACCTTCCCAGTCATATATGCAACTTGTATTAAGTTAATTTTTTATCAAGTTGATTTAGCTCTTTGATATGTTGTGGTTTAATCCATGCACCATCTTCGGCATCCTTCCAGTCATTTAACAGCAACCTAGTAATATTGTTTCAGTAAACTATTTCCGAATCCTCATAAAAAATGTTTTGATATTTTAAAATAATGTAAAAATATTTATTAAATGGAAGTTATTTTTAATAACTTTTTTAAGTTGGTTTGCCCAAAAAAAAAAAAAAAAGAATTTTTATTCTGAAGTTATTTATTTTTGGAAAAAGATTGCAATTTCACTTTAAACATTTATATATAACATGTAAAAAAAAATTTTTTTTAATGTATTATAAATATAACATTCTTTAAATACTCTATTAAAACTACTTTAAAGATTTTAATAAGAAAGAATTTTTATGTTCCTGGTAATCAAGTGTTATAGTGGATGATCTTAATCAAATGTCAATTAAAACTGATGTTTTTTGAATAGAATTTTAGAAGTTAACCCATTTTTAAAGTACCAAAAAAGTAATAAACCTTATTAATATTTTTGTCTTATAAAAGAAAATTAATATTTATTTATAGTGGTCAGTAACCTTGACAGTTACTGACCAATATGGTTTTTTTATCACTAAATTTTTGGAATTTTAAACCCATTGGGAATTTGGCGTTATATGCAGTGCCATTTGGCTAGCTAACACTCTGCTTGAAATGTAAGGGTGCTAAATATAATTCTAAACTGTGTCATTAAATAAATAAAAAGTTAGAGTACTTATCAAATTTTATAAAAATGTCAGGGAATTCTTATATATTAAATTCATTAAAAAACCATATAAATGTGAATTGAATAGTGTTTAAAATTTTGTTTAATTATTAGTGTTATTTGTAAAGAAGTTCATGAGTGTATCACTAGGGATTTCTTGATACAATTTACAATCAGTTTAAATATGCACAGTAGTGGCTTAAACGTTATGTTAATAAGTTTATCTTCTGAATATAATTTTAACATAAAAAAGTTAGGGAAAAAGCAAAATAAAAATTGTTCAAAACTTTTTCAAAAAAATATTTTTTCGCAATATACAAAATGGTTTTATCTTTGATCTTATTTGTGAAAATTTATAAATCTTTTTTTAAAGAAGCCTATAAAGGTTTTCTGTGACTTATAAGTTTAAAATAGATTTTAAATACTTTAAAAATTTCTTAAAGTGAAAATTTAGTTTAATCCCTGTAATTATTTTTATTTTAGTCATAATAAAAATTCATTCAATAGACTTGGCCAGGAAGGCGTGCGATTTCATGCCATAATATAACCACACAAATATTATTTAATTTTGAAAACTTGACCATGGCTGTTGTTATATATTTTTTTAAATTTTATATACATTTAAAACTTGTATACAAATGTTTTAAAATTTGTATACATTTTACACAGTTTGTAAATTTGGGACCCCAATATCAATGAAATACCCTATGAAAACCCTTTTAAGGGGGGATAGTACATGCCAATGGGAGTCTATATTGAGTTGTTTTGAAATCGGGGATTAACATCAAAAAGAATTATTTGATCATGAAGGTTTTTTAAAAGGGTTGATTTATGAGCCAAATTAAACTGCCTATTAATGGTACTAAACTTACTCCCTTAATTTTTTTTATAAAATAAAGATTGTAGCCCATGAAACGTAAAATGTTTATTATTTTATTCATTTTTATTGAAATAATTCTTTATTGAGCGTTTTGATCAGTGCAAGCGTAAAATCGAACTTTCGAAACTAACGAAAAAAGTAAACAAATATATTCTGGGAAAAGGCAAAAAATATTTTTGAAGGAAAACATATTTTTTTGTGAACAAATATTTAAAAATTTAAAGATGCCTACATTTGCCAAAAACCATGAAGAATGTAGAAAATCTGTTTGTGTTATCTGTATGAAGAAAGGTGATCAAGAATTGACTGAAAACTTCAAAGCTAAAATTCTTCAACAAATTCAGAAAGAAATCAACTTCAATGATGACAGAGTACCATTGGCGACCTGCATCTCCTGCAGATCTCACATTGGAAAGCTGTGTGATGGTAAAACAAATGTTGTGCCTCAGATTTATGACTTTGAATCAATTTCGATCAAGCCTCTTACTCGTTTTTCTACAGTCTGTGAGTGCTTGATTTGTAAGATTGCCAAACTCAAGGGAAAAGAAAGGCATCCATTAAGCAAGGTTTAAGATTCAGCACCAAAAGTTTCCCAACAATCTTCGCAAAATGCAGAAAAGCATTGTACTAAGTGCTTGTCAGTTATTGGTCGTGGACTTCCTCACTACTGCACTCCTGGAACACGCCATGAAAATTTGAGAAGAATGGCTGCCTCTGATCCCATTGGTGCAGAGCAAGTTGCAGCAACAGTTTTGGGATCAAAAAGTGCATCTCCTCATGGCACCATCAGACTCAGTCAACCTTGTGGAAAGCTATTGCCATTGAGAAAAGGTAATAGTGCTTTTGAACTTTAAATGATTAAATTAAAATATATGTCTTTTTTTAAGAGTTTTTGAGCTCTTATTTTGTATTGTAATATAGTGTAACAGTAAAAATAAAAATAATAATAACAATAACAAAAAAAAAAAAAATAAAATAACAATAACAAAAATAATAATAACAATAATAGTATAATCTGCCATGTCTTATCTAAAAAGAGTCAGGTCAGGTTTTCCTGCTACTGGTAACATGTAACCCAGTACAACCTGCTCCATGTCCTGCTGCCTTGTAGGATACGCTTTTTTAGGCAAAGGCTAGGTGAAGTTAACTCCGAATTAAAACACCCCCTGACTTAGGGCTCTTGGTTGAGTAAAGGCTAGAGATGGTGTCTCGATAAAAATACTCATCTTGGGCAGATGTTACATGCATCCAGCTGCTGTCTTGTAGAAGGCCTCCTAGGCGAAGACTTAAGGGGTAAACAGGTTCTATCTGTTGACCAGCCTCGCACCCCTTCCTCATCTATTAGGCTGGCGCAGATGTATTTTTAATACATTGTTTCCAGTTTAGGATGTTGAACGCTGGATCTTCTTGACTCAATGCGTGGGTATTGCTTGTGTCTCTATTTTTATGAATGGGCAACTCATTCTATTATCTCCTAATGAGGGTACAGCTCTAAAACTCAGTTTTATGGTTCTGCGGCCGGCTGGTAGTCAGGTTTCCCAAACTTTGTGGTAGCTCTCAGAGAGGCTGATTCCATCAACAGCCGAAAAATATCAGAGTACTAACAGTGCCATGTTGCGCATGGATGGTGTCCCTGTTTGTACTTTTGGTGTGCATTGCAGAGGCCACATTTGGAGCCCTTTGTTACGGCTTAGGGTTTATTAATAGTAATGAGGCTATTGCTTAGTTGTTAAATAGTGTACTGAGTACTATCTATACTTGAGTCAAGTTCTTTATAAATTTAAAATGACTAAAGTACCTAAAACTAAAAAACACAAAAAACCATTGTCATCACCAAGTTCTCTAAACCTATCATTTTCTAATATTCGTGGTCTTCGAAGTAACTTTTCTTCTGTTGAGTCTTATCTCTTGCAAAGTTCACCAGACCTACTTGCTCTTTGTGAGACTAATTTGAGTTCGGCTGTCCCATCTTGTGATCTTAGTGTTGATGGTTATCTTCCTTTAATTCGTAAAGACTCCAATAATCACATGCTTGGCCTTGGCATCTACATTCGTAAGAACTCACCCATTTGTAGTGAAACTAGGTTTGAATCTACAGACTATTCATTTATGTGCTTTCGTTTAGCACAACTTCACTCTATCGCCTTTCTCTTTGTTCTATATCGCTCTCCTTCATCCCAAGATTGCACTATTCTTGATGTTATTTCTGATCAAATTGACCAAGCCCTCTCTCTTTATCCATCGGCCAATATCGTCGTTGTTGGTGACTTTAATGCCCATCACACCGATTGGCTTGGCTCTAGTGTCAGTGACTCTGCTGGCGTTAAGGCTCTCAACTTTTGCCTTTCTCAATCTCTAACTCAAATAGTCAACTTTCCAACTCGTTTTCCAGACAACCCTAATCATTTACCTTCTCTACTCAACTTATGTCTTGTTTTGGATCCTAGTCAGTGCTCAATTTCTCCACATTCACCCTTAGGTACTTCTGATCACGGTTTGATCTCTCTAAAACTGTTATCAAATTCTTCTACTTCATCAGAATCCCCCTATCATCGTACCACATACAACTACCTTAAAGCTGACTGGGACTCTTTCCGTGATTTTCTTCGTGATGGCCCTTGGGTAGAAATCTTTCGTCTTCCTGCTGACAAATGTGCTTCTTACATAACTTCGTGGATTCAGGCTGACATGGAATCTTTTATTCCCTCTCGACGATTCCAGGTCAAGCTTCACTCTTCTCCTTGGTTTTCCTCACATTGCGCTGCAGCAATTTCTAATCGAAACCGTTACTTCCATATCTATCAGCAAAACAATTCTCCAGAAAACAGACATCTGTTCACTATCGCCAGAAACCATTGTAAAAAGGTTTTGTCTGACGCCAAAGTTCGCTATTCCCAGGTCATTAAATCTCGTATCTCATCACAAAAATTAGGCTCTCGAGACTTCTGGAGAATCTTTAACAGTATCAATAATAAGGGCCAATCTGTTATTCCTTCTCTCTTGTATGGTTCAGACTTTGTCACCTCACCTAAAGACAAAGCTGAATTGTTTGCTAAGAACTTTTCATCAATATCATCTCTTGATTCCACTAGTTGCGTGTTACCTGACATAGCCGTCAAACAGGTTGATCCCTTGCTTGACATTCGCATCACTTCAGCTTCTGTATCTAAAGTAATTTCCTGGTTAGACTCTTCAACAGCTTGTGGTCCTGACTACATTCCTGTTGTAGTCTTGCAGAGGTGTTCTCCGGAGCTTTCATCCATACTTTCTAAACTATTTAACAAGTGCTTATCAGAGTCTTGTTTTCCATCATGCTGGAAAGCAGCATCTGTTATCCCTATTTTCAAAAATTCCGGAGAGCGATCTGATTCATCTAACTACCGTCCCATTAGTCTTCTTCCTGTCATAAGCAAGGTTTTTGAATCTTTAATTAACAAACACTTAATCTCCCATCTTGAATCAAATAACTTACTTTCTGATCGTCAATATGGATTTCGGTCTTCTCGTTCTACAGCTGATGTGCTAACAGTAATAACCGATAGGTTTTACCGTGCATTAGATAGAGGTGGAGAGGTTAAGGCTATCGCACTTGACATTTTTAAAGCTTTTGATAAAGTTTGGCATGCTGGTCTTCTCCATAAGCTTTCTTCTTATGGTGTAGCTGGTAACGTCTTTAAGATTATTGAGTCCTTTCTTTCCAATCGTAGTATAAAAGTTGTCCTCGATGGACAACACTCTTCTTCACATCCTGTAACTTCAGGGGTTCCTCAAGGTTCAATCCTTGGCCCTATACTCTTTTTAATTTACATTAACGATCTTCCAGATATTTTCACATCTAAGGTGGCATTATTCGCTGACGACACTACCATTTACTCTTGTCATGATAAGAAGCCTACACTCTCTGATTGCTTGGAGGGGGTATCTGAGCTTGAAAAGGATCTCACTTCTGCTACAGCATGGGGCTCACAGTGGCTGGTGAACTTTAATTCAGATAAAAATCAATTTTATTCGGCCAATCGTTATCGTAATAATTTAGATCTTCCTATATTTATGAATGGTAATGTACTAGATGAGTCATCTACCATTCATCTTCTAGGATTAACTCTTACTTCTGATCTTTCTTTTAAACCGTGTATCAAATCCATTGCAAAATTAGCATCTGCTAAGGTTGCATCTCTTTATCGAGCTCGACACTTTCTTACTCCAGATTCTATTCTCTATCTCTATAAATCTCAAATCCGTCCCTGTATGGAATACTGTTGCCACATCTGGGGCGGATCTTCTAATGATGCTCTTTCTCTTTTAGACAAGGTGCAAAAACGAATTGTAAACATAGTTGGACCTGCTCTGGCAGCCAATCTCCAACCTTTGTCACATCGTCGTAATGTTGCTTCTCTTTCTCTTTTCTACAAATACTATAATGGGCACTGCTCTAAAGAGCTAGCGTCCCTTGTGTTATCTACTAAAATTCATTCTCGTGTTACTCGCCATTCAATTAAGTCTCATCCTTTTTCTGTGACTGTTCCTAAGTGCTTCAAAAACTCTTATTCTTCTAGTTTTTTTCCTCGAACATCAGTTCTTTGGAATTCGCTTCCTTCATCTTGCTTTCCTGATTCATATAATTTGCAATTTTAAGTCATCAGTCAATCGTTATCTTGCTCTACAGATTTAGTCTTTTCTCTTCCAGTAACTTCCAACTCTTATAGTGGTTGCTTGCAGCCTTGTTGGAAGTGAAGATATTAAAAAAAAAAATATATATATATATAAATATGATATATTTATTTTTCAAAAACTTACTTAATTTAAAAATAAAATTTTCTCTGCAAATATATTTGCAGAGAAAATTTTATTTTTAAATTTAATTTAATTTTATTTTTAAATTTAATTTAAAAATAAAATTTTCTCTGCAAATATATTTGCAGAGAAAATTTTATTTTTAAATTAAGTAAGTTTTTAAAAAAAAAATAATAATATTTTTTGAAGGTCATGAACTATTTTTTAAATGCAATTTTTATAATTAGGACCTTCATCAGCACAGCAACTTTTCAAAGAGCCTCTCACAACGCAGAATATGGTTCAAATTCAGCAGAATATAGGACTTTCAAACAATGGGATGAGAAAACTTGGATCGGCACTAAATCAAATCAGTCCTATCAGATTGGTGGAGCCAAGTTTTCAGCAAAAATTCGCTCAAGCAAGCCAAAAACTTTGTGATCACTTCACTGTGAGCAGCATCACTCTTGCTGAAAACAATCAAATATCCCAAGTTGTGCATTGTCAAAACCTCAGTAGTCTTAGTGATGTCTTCTTAGCATCAAGAAAGATGACAGATTCTGCAATTTTGAAACTAGGGATTGATGGTGGAGGATCTTTTTTGAAAGTCAGCTTCACACACATCATTGTGGATGAAGGTGAGACACCGCCACATAGCCCACTGCAGAAAACAATCAAATTGATGTCTCCACAACTAAATCAACAAGTGTCAAGCAGCAACTACTGGTAGCAATTGCACAAAACACTCCAGAGAACTACCATAATGTAAAGGCAATTTTTGACCCCATCCAAGTACAAGAGAAATGTCAGATGGATTCTCTGGTCATATCATGTGACCTAAAGTTGGCAAATATTCTGTGTGGCATTCAATCCCATAGCAGCAAACACCCATGTTGTTGGTGTGATGTTTCGTCTTTAAACCTCCAAAACTGTGGAAGTCCTCGAACTTTTGGCGAGATTAGGAGACAACATTTTGAATTCATCAACGCAGGAGGAGATACAAGAAAATCAAAGGAGTTCAAAAATGCCATTCACGTACCATTGGTTGATTTTCCTGATCACAAGCTTGTGCTTGAAGCTATCCCTCCAATGGAGCTCCATTTGTTACTTGGAATAGTAAACCATTTGTATAAAAATCTTTGCAAAATTTGGCCAGGGGCCGAGAAATGGCCAGCTTCACTTCATATTCCTATTCAGCCCTACCATGGTGGACATTTCAATGGGAATGACTGCATGAAGCTCTTGAGAGGTTTAGACAAGTTGCAATTGGTCACAGGATACAACAATTTTAGTCAAGCTCATGACTTCATGCAAACACTTGCACTATTTAAGGATGTGGTCATTTCTTGCTTTGGCAATAATTTGGATCCTGATTATGAATCGAAGATCTCCAAGTTCAAACAAAGCTACATCCGCCTACCCATTTCAGTTACTCCAAAAGTACATGCAGTGTTTTACCATGTACCTCAGTTCATCAAAATCAAGAAAACAGGATTGGGTCTCTTCAGTGAGCAGGCAACAGAAGCTCTGCACTCCAATTTCAAAGTTCATTGGGAGAGATACAAACGAGATTCCTCACATCCAGACTATGCCAGCCAACTCCTGAAGTGTGTGATCGAATACAACAGCAAGAAAATCTAGATCTAAAGAACAGTGTTAAAAAAATCCTAAGAATACTCTTAACAGATTTGTGATATTTTAGTGCCTTTATTTTGTTCCAGATGATTCGTCTCTAGAGAGCATTATAATTTTTAATGGAATTATAGAAATTGTTGTTTATCTTCTAAATGCGATCATTAAGAAAATAAATGAATAAAATAAAAAAAGCTCCCAATTTATGTTTTTAACATTTTTTGTTTTATGATAAAAAATCAGAAATGTATTTTTGTACTACAAATAGGCTGCCAAATGTTGCTTAAAATTCTTATTTTCTTCAAAACTTCAAGGTAAAAAATCCATTGGATGTTAATGCAGGATTTCAAAATCACTCTGTATGGCCATCCATTGTTATGTACTATCCCCCCTTAAAAGGGTTTTCATAGGGTATTTCATTGATATTAGGGTCCCAAATTTACAAACCGTGTTTAGAAATGCGCCAAAAAAGTTTAAATCAAAAATTAGAATTCAAATTAAAAATTTTAAACTTTATAATAAAGAAACTTGAACAAATACTTATCCAAAAAAAAGCAAATAAGTCTTTGTAAAAAAAAATAACAAAAAATGAATATAAAAATAACTTTGCTAAAACTAAAATCAAAAAATAAAATTAAAACTTAATAAAATAAATTGTAAACTATAAGGATAAGATTATTTAAGTTATGTTTGGAATAAATAACTAAGAACTGTTTTTATTTACTAATGTTTTTATAATAATATTATGTAAAACTCTTTTAAATAAAGTAACAACTTACATCAATTGTTTAATAAATATTATGCACATTTAAAAAATAATGAAAAGATTCTTAAAAATTCTTTGCAGTAATGTAAATAAAAGAAAAAATAATTAAATCATTTCTTTAAAAAAATTGATATTATTTTCTTATTTAAAGACATATATAATATAAAATACATACTTAAATAAATATAAAAAAATTATTAGCAGTGATTTGTTACTTTATTTGAATGTTTTTTAATAGTATAAAAACATTATTAAATATAAAAGTTATTTTATTCAAACGGCTTTCAAAAAAGTTTTCCTCTTTTTTCTTCTAAACAAAATCTTTCTTCTCTTCAAGTGTATTAATTTTAATGATACTTATATAAAGTTTATTAAAGAGACTATCGTTATTTCAAGTTGTCGCTTATAAAATTGAATTTATTTTTCTTAAATTAGATTTACTTTAATTGAAATCATTAGTTAAAATCATTAAAACATTTTGCTAATATAAAAATGTTAGTAAAAATAAAGGTATCAAAGTTGTTGAAAAGAAACTTTTTTTTATTTTAGCACATTTTTAAAATTTTAAAGAACCTGGTCAAATATTTAAAACAAAATATTATTTGCATGGTTATAAAAAAGCTTGTTTTCTCAGGCATTCTTTGCCAAGCCTGATTCAAGACTTATAATAGTAATACATTAAAGGCAAACCTAATAATAATCTTTTTTAATAACAATAATCTATATAATTAATATATATATATATATATATATATATATATATATATATATATATATATATATATATATATATATATATATATATATATATACATATATATATATATATAAATATATATATATATATATATATATATATATATATATATATATATATATATGTATATATATACATATATATATATATATATATATATATATATATATATATATATATATATATATATATATATATATATATATATATATATATATATATATATATATATATATATATATATATATATATACCTTGCTGGTTCCCCACCACGTCTGGCATTTAGCAAAGTAAGACGAGTGCAAACCATGTCGCGAAGTTCGATAAATGTATGGCTGTCCCAAAAAATAAATCTGTCATTCATTATACTTTCTATTTGCTGAAGAATATAATTTTGAAGAACTTGGACATCTTTTTCTTCTAGCAAGTTAGTTGGTCTCCTAAGTTTTTGGTGACGCTTTTTGTTTATGTCATATTCAGCATCACCAAATATATACCCTTTCCAAGTTTCAAAAACAGATACAAACAAATCAATATCTTGTACTTTTTCTAAAACTAATTTATTATTTTCCTCATAGGTAAGATTTTTATCATTTTGTGTAAGTATTGTTCCCTTTGTAATCTTTGCTGCTTTTTTTATTAATGAAGAGAGAACAATTTTCAATCCTGATTTTAAACAGTTTTCTTATATAGTATATTCATCAATCGCATTTCTTAAAACATCAAAATTAATTCGATTAAACATGTCCATAGAGTTACTATATTTTTTATGGGCTTTTTCATTCCTTCTGAAGATCGAATAAAGATTTCCAAGTCTTCTCATGTCGTTTCGGACAGATTTAAGAACTTCTGAAGCTTTATCGCATTTTCTTTTCATTTTGTCATATAAACGAAGACCAACAGTTAAAATGATATTGTCCTGTTTGCAAATTTTACCAACATCATCATTTCTCATATTTCCAAGAACATTTGTAGTAAATTTGTTTGGAAATGATGAAAGAAAATTGTCCTTTATCAAGCTAAGTGGAATATGAATGGTTGACTTTAAATTATTTAGGTCACAATTTTTGCTGTGTCTACTTAAAAAGCGTTTCGAAAAAAAGCCATTGCAATGTCCACACATCTCAAGATTTTCTGCTGTGTCCTTACAAGTCTTTTTTGCCTTTCTCTCTCTCTCTAAATTGACTAATTAGCAAAAGATATTATAACATGTTAAAACTTTATCTATTTAGTAACTAAAAACTAAGGAGATGCAAAAATGCAAAAAATAAAAAAAAAAACCTTTTTTTTTCAATTCAAATAATGTAAGAGTTACAAACTTTGTTTCAATAAGAAAGCAGATACTCGCAGAAGATCATAAGATCTTGTCATCGAGAACCGCCTAAACAGATTTATTATAAGTTATGATGAAAGATTTCATATATTTTTTATAAGTTATGATGAAAGATTTCATATATATATATATATATATTTCAATAAAAGATTTCATAAGAGTATTAATAAAAAACAAAACAAACTTAAAAATATATAAAAATGTTTTCAATTGAGAAAAGAATTTTTTTCAATTTTCTATGAAATAAAAAATTATTACCTTTAAAAGTTAGGATTTAGTTCTTTTGTTTGATTAATCAGGGTTGCCACCGTTATTTAAGAACAAAATTCCCTGATTTTCCCTGATTTTTTTGCTAAAATTTTGTTTTTTTCTCCCTGAATTTTCCTAATTATTTGCGAAAATTTTGCTTTTTTATCTTTGATTGTTCTTGATTTTTTCCCTTATATTTTGCTTATTTGCCCCTGATATTTCTAGTATTCAAACACCCACACTTAACCTTAAAACTTCTCCATTAACCCCAGATTTTTACCTTCAAAAAAACTGATGCTATAATCCCCCAATGAGTAATGAACCAATCAATTTGTTTAAAAATTGAAATAGCTAATTAAATACTTCAATCAACACATGAAGTTATTTATAGTAGAATTCCGTTAACTTGAACTGAATATAAAACGGGTATGTTCAACAAGCATTAAAAATCTGTCAGACTTATCTAGGGTACAGGATAATGAAATTCAAAAAAAAAGTAATAATTAAGATTGAAAATGTTTCTAATAACAAGCAATGTATTAAAAATTCATTAGTAAATACAAACAAGTTATAATAACTATTTAAAAAAGACTAACAAAAACAAAATAATTAAACTAAATAAGTAATAGTGTTAAATACTGAAATGTTTGAAATAAAGGTTAAACAATTTTATGTTAGAAAAATGAAATTATTTGTAATTGACTTCTTTTTTTTTCTTATATAATATAACTAAAGCCTCCTCAAGCATCTTAATTTCTTTTTCGTGTTCCTCACTTTTTCGCTTACGATCATTGCCTTTTGTAAGTAGAAGTTTCATTTGAGACATATCCTGCTGTTTGCCAGCTTCCTTGGTGAATGTAATAAATTCCTCATTGTATGTTTTACACACTTCGTTCAATACTTTTTGCTTTTCCTTAAGTTCAAATATTTCCTGATCTAAATGCATTATCACGCTATTTTCTTTTTCTTTTGCTTTGAGTTTTCTATTTTCCTCCAAATAATTTTTATATTGTAACGAGGCACTACGAACAGCCTTAATCATTTCATTGTTTGTTTCTTTTTCATGAGCCTTTAATTTGTTTGACACCATAAAATCCTTAATAGTGCGACGAGATATAAGTGACTTTTCTTTCATATTTTCACTGAGCATATTACTGTTAATACTGAAACCTCTCTCAATTGATGCTTGCCCATGACATAACGTAAAAATATATATCAAAACTTTTGACAAAGTCTTGTAATCTACACCAACTTTAATGGTTTCAAAATAAAATTCGTCTAAACGATTTCCAGAGTGAAAATTTTTAAATGCGGGTAAAAGAGTAGATGAACTTTCCTCTAACAACTTTGAAAATTGTATGAAAGCTTGATCACATTCATTTGAAGTAATATGTGAGCAAGAAAGAATTAGATGTAGTACAGATTTCATCTGATGAAGAAGATCAGCTTTTTGTTTAGAAAGAATTGACACTGGACTGATGCAACCAGTTGCTTCCAGAAAAGAAAATTGATTCAAACTTCTTTCAAATATTTTTTCGAGGATTCCAAAGATAATGAAACGGCAATCTTTCATGAATCTGTTGATGACATCATGAGATACCACATCCTTTTTCCTGAATTCCATAATGTCACGTTCAGCAGCAAACCCAATTGTCATTAATTTTAATGGCAGAAAGTTTTCCTTTTCAGTAAAATCAAATTTTTGAAGTTGCCTGCCATTCACGATGCTGCTAAGGACATCTTGTTTTATAATTAAACCCATTAAGTTTTTAACAGTTAAGAACAAATCTTCAAAAAGAAAGGAAATCATTGGGGAATCGGTTTGATATCTCAATAAGATTTTCTGTAACAAACTTGCAATGTAACTAAAAAACTTCAATTTAGTCAAAGTTAACTCATCTTTTGTTCCTCCTAACACAGTGTCATAGCTCTTGGATTTTGGTTGCTTACTTTTAGGAAGAGTCTCCCAATACTTGGTTATTTTTTTAACACTCTCATGAATTAAACAAAGTCTATCTGCAATTTTTTGGTCTTCAACCCAGCATGTTGAGCAAAATGCATAAGGAAAACTCTCACATTCAGTAACAGTTAGAAAATCAGCTCTTCTAGCCGGAGAATCATGAAAAAGGTTGTGTGATGCTTTCATTAACTTCCCTATATTCCATTCAACAGATTGAAAACCCAATTTGAAAGCCCCATGTATTACATGAAGGTTACAACTACCAACGTTAACAAGTTTAGGAAGCTCTTGTTGATCACGCTGCTTTTCAAGAAGATTAAGAAGGGACCAATTCACATTTGGACCATCCATACTTAGTTGAGTCAGATTTATGCTATTAATCTTTGACAAAGATGTAGTAATACTTTCAAGCAAATTTTTTGCTGTGGGGTGACCTAAAAATCTAGAGTCAAAGTATCTGGATTCAACAAGATTTAGATCGCTGTTCCAAAACCGAATATTTAGATCCATTTGACAATTTTGGAAAGAATCGTTAAGGCTTTCATTAAATGAAACAGTATAATAAGGAGATTTTTTTATATTTTCAGTTAAAAGTCTGTGAAAATAAGGTCCAAGACCAAAATTAATTATACAACCAAGTTTTGTTTTACCCATTTCATAAGATTTAGCAGTATTGCTGTCAGGGAACATTTTCTGATAAAGTAGGCAATTTTCATTACATGAGTTCAATGAGAAATTATTCTGTACTGCATTTAAAACAGAATAGATTTCTGCACAACATTTATCACATTGATCTACTGTAAGAATTGCTTGCTTTTTAGATGTAGACGGTGCAGGCATGAAGAAGCAAGATACTGGCTTTGCCTTCTGTGCATGTTTTTTGCCATCCATGTGACTTATCACAGCTCTTCTCCCCATATTTGACAAATTAAACTCAACTTGGCATATTTTGCACTTGGCTGACTTTTTATCGCTGCCTATTACCAGCCATTTTTCAAACCAAAGATCACTTAATCATTCTTCTTTGAAATATGTTGCCATTTTAAATTTTAAAAATTTGTACTATTCTAAAAAAAGAGCAAATTAATACACAATGTGATTAATTTTCTTTAAAAATATTTAACATTAACCCTGGTACCCTGAGAAAAAAAAATTTTTATTAGAAAATATTTCAAAACATTAAAGAAAAATTAAAAAGTTCCCTAATTTTCCCTGATTTTTTTCTAAATCAATCATTTCCCCCTGATTTTCCCTGATAGTATTTAAATTTCCCTGAATTTCCCTGATTTCCCTGATTTCCCTGATTTGGTGGCAACCCTGATTAATGTTATATTTTTTTATTCCTTCTTTTTTAAATTTATCAAACATTTTTAGTTTTTCTCTGTCTGGAAGATTCAAAGTTGATTTAACAGTTTCTATATCTTTATGTTTTAAAGTTATATGTCTTGTTAATCTCGATTGAATTTTGTTGCAAAATATACAAATTCTGCCTGGTTTTCTTTTCATTGACTTGACCTAAAGCAATTTGCAATAAATAAAATAATTAGATAAAAAGTTTATTTTTATTTTTTTTTTTTTTTTCGACTTTTTACTTAAATTTAATACAGACAGTTGTGGGGTAATTCTGTTTCAAAAGACTACTCAGTAAAATAAGAATTCATTGACAGTTCTAGCCTCTAGCTCCAAGAAGATCCGGAAATATGGCCATTTTTTTTTAAATAGATATTGAATGGGCCCCACTTGTCCCCTCATAGTTACAACATTAGTTCAGAGACATTAATAATATTTGATCTTTTTACTTAAAGATTTGTAACTGGGTATTTTTAGGAGTGATAAATCCAATGAAATGACCAGAAATGTAAAAATTTTATTTTAAGTGCCTTTATTTATCAATTTAAATAAATTTAGGCAATTTTTTATATACCTGATTTTAATGCTCAAAAAACCTATATGACCTTTATTTATTGATCTTTTAGAAAACATAAAGATTTTGATTTGCATTTACATTGATTTCCATATATGGATAAAGAGACCCATTACCCACTTTGTTGTAGCGGTATATTGCAATTAATTTTTCATTACTTCACAAACTAGTTAAAGCTCTGAAACTTTTTGAAAGTTTTTTCTTGGGCCCAACAACACTGGCTCACTAGTTTTTCATTACCATTTAGTGTTTAAGTTGCTTTAATTATATTAAGTTGCTTTAATTATATTAACACTAGTTTTTCATTATCATTAGTGTTTAATTGCTTTAATTATATTAAGTTGTTTTAATTATATTAACACTAGTTTTTCATTATCATTAGTGTTTAAGTTGCTTTAATTATATTAATTTCTTTTGGTTTCTCATTTTTAATTTTATTTGGAATACAACTTGGTAGTTAGCTTTAAAATAAGGTTCGAATGATTTTGGTAAACTGTCAATTAATAATAAATAAGTTTTATAATTTAAGATAAAACAAAAATATTTAGTTTAAAATTTTTGTTTTTACGTTATTTATGAACACAACATACGTTTGGACATGGTATTATCTTTCAACTTCAAATTAAAATTTTTATTTATAAATCATTATAAAGTTTATAATATAAAAAAACCTTGGTGTTACTCATTTTTGACAAATGAACTAATTTCTCTGGGTGAAATTCCTTCTTATCAAAATCTAAATTAAAAACTTTTTAAAAATATTATCAGGGCATGATCGACATGGTGTCAATTTATACTTATTTTTAAATTTATTAATTATAAATTTATTTTAAAATTATACAATTTTTTGCACCAAGAAAAAATAAAATTTTTATCCAAAAAGCCTAATTATATAAGGATTTCAAAATTTTAAAAAGTTCAGATATCTATTCTATATAAAAAATTGTTATTCGTTATTTTAATCCAAATGGTTAGGTTTTTTTAATTACATTCAAGCAATACCTTTTGTATTTGTTTCCTCTTCGTCCAAATCTGTGTCTTTTTCTATAGAAGAACAAGCATGTACCTAGATAAACATAAGCCTAAGTTTATTTATTTTATTTAAATGAATATAGTGTGATATATTAATATATTTTTAACAGAGGTTGATTTAAGCAGTCACCAATTAAAATTGTCTGAAAGAAGTTTAAATCTTGAAATTTTCTAATTAAAGAAACGGCGATGGGTTTTTTTAAATAATAAATATTGCTTGCTAAATTGAATAATATTTAAAAATAAAATATTTCACTTTAGAACTATTTATTTGTAAATTTAAAACACCTGATTATTTAAATGCTATGTAATCATGGAGTAGAAACTTATAACAGATGTTTACACTTTTTTAACAACGTTATTGAAAGAAATTACTTTTCTTTCTTTGAGTTTTCTTAAATTTTGTATATTATTTTTTGTGTAATTGTCTTTTAAGCGCTCACTAGGACTGGTATTTAATTTTTATTGTTTGAAGCAATTTTTTTTAATACTTAAATTACTTATTGTGATTTTTTTTTTGTTTAACTTTTTTTTAAATGTTAGTAACATGTTAAAGATATTTTTGTTTTGAAAATTATTGAATAAGTGTAAGACTTATTTTATATTTTATATTTATTTTAAATAAAAAAAATTTTTCTATATATATTAAATAATTGTATATGTATTAAATAATTATTATTTCAATAATTATTCATAATAACTTGTTTATGAAATGTTTAGTTCTTTGTATTTTAATAAAGTATTTATAATGTCATGAATTGTTTAGTTATGTAGTTCAATTCTTTGCAGTTCTTTGCAACTTCAATGCAGTTCTTTTTATTATGCAAATCTAATGCTCATTTATGAAATATGACATGCAAAATTTAACTTATACTTAAAATTAAAAGATTATTAGTAACTTATGTTCTTTATAAATAATCTTTAACACCAATTAGTTTACACTATGTTATGCTATAAATTTTTAATGATGTTGAAGTTTTTTTTTAGTGTAAAGCATTTTTATTTTTTATAATATAACTTTTTTTAACTTTAAATTAAAGCTCATTTCATTATTTTTAAGTCTTTATATAACTCATTATTAGCATAAAACTTTCTATTCTAATCTATCTTTAAAAAGAAAGAGGCAGGGGAAAGAGTTGTTTTTTTCCACACAAAAAGCCAAAGATCAAACAAATTTGAGTTCTGACATAGGCAATCTACAGACTTGATAATTTATTCAAGCATGTTTAATTAACATACAAGTTTATTCATTTATTTATTTTATTTTTTTATTTTTTTTTTTTCTCACCTACTATCAGTAAATTGTTTTTTTCTATTAATAATTTTATAAACAACGACGACTTTAATTAACACACTATTTAAAACTTTAAGTTATGTAAAACAGTAACCATGTTTCGCTTTTAAGTCATTGGTTTTTAACCATGTTTCACTTTTAAGTCATTGGTTTCAACTATTGAGCAATTAATGTTTTAACTTAAATTCAAAAGGAGTTTTCAAAGCCAATGTGTTTTGAAAAATTTTAAAAGAATATATATATAATCAATTTAAAAAATAATTAAATAAATATTAAAATTATTGTTATTACTTTTATTTGTAAGTTTCACATCAATTTTTCCTGATTTTTGTGGTTTGGATGGTTCTTCATTAATGGCATACAAATACCATTATAAAAGAGTTGAAGAAATGTTTTACACTTTCCTGATGTTAACATGAAGCAGGTTGTACTGGATTACATTTTACCAGTAGCAGAATAATTTGACTTGATGTAAAAATAACCTGACTTGACTTGTAATTATAAAATATAAATTATTACAACGTTTTAATATCTACAATAAAAACCTGGCTGTATAATAATAAAAAAAGATAATAATTTAATGTCTTTTTAAAAAAGACTTATTTTCAGTTTTTTAAGATGAGTTAAGTTATCTTTGTTAGGTTGTTGTTTTTTTAATGTAAAAACTATAAAATAAAATAAGTGAACAGTTTTATTTTATATGTAAGAAGTAGAAAAAAAAATCTGTAGATTTATTTCAATAGATTTCAATGATGTCGTGAACAAATACTTTTATTAATTAATCGCACTTGAATAACTTATCAAGTCTGTAGATTGCGCCTAATATTAACTTAAAGACTTAAAAACCATCTTAGTTTTGAAAAAAAATTTTAAAATATTACACTATTTTTATATTTCAATCATATTAAACACAAACCTCTAAACTTGAATTGTGAAATGGCGAGTTAGATATTGCATTTTCCACACCAAAATCAATGTTTAAATCTATTAAAAAAATTTGAAATACAATATTTTTCTATTATATAGTAAATGGGTGATCTTGTTATCATGTTTTCTTTAAAAGTTTCTTTTAAAAAAAAGTATACCTTCTACAGCTTTACTATCTGATGCAATGTTTTTTGTTGTAGGAGAATAAGCCTTAATATAAAATATAAATATGTATTAACTATGACGAAAAGATATGTATAACACAATATGTTAATATGAATGAAACATATGATAAAGTCTTTTTCAATGGTGATCAATGGTGCCATCTGAGTACTTAAAAAACAATTTTTAAATCTTGAGTTAACATTCTATGGATTTGCATTTGAATATTTGCTGCTTTATTCTAGTTTTCTTTATAGTTTATGCTGTTTTTAATTTAAATTTTGTCTGTTTTTAAAATAAATTTACTATATAGAAGTAATGAATATATATTTTTTCTGAAAAAAACAACAATTAGTTTTGAAATGCTTGGTGAAATTATCAAATTAAACTATAAAACTAGTTTTAGCAAAAACTTTTTAAAAACTTTTAATGGTATTAAATCATTGCAAGCATTCAATTTTATTTATTTTTAACTAGAAGTTCTTTGACAACTAATTCAGTTTCCTTTGTTATAGAAGAACAAACTCGAACCTAAATGTTTATGTTTATTTATAAATATAATTTTATTAAAACAAAAAAAAATTAGTCTATTTGTTTAATTTATTATTAGTTAAGTTTAAAATATATGTTTATAACATTTTTATAGTTATTTATTGCAAAAATGTATACATATTAACAGGCCTTGGCAGGAATACATGAGTGCATAAATGGAGAGCTTCTCTCCTAAAGGGAACATCACTCCTCTAAACAGCTTTTTTAAATGTTTTTTGCGACCTAACAGTCCGATTAGGATTTTTTTATTGCTGGCTGTTGTAAGACAAATAATTTAGTTCAATTTATTTTTATAAACTATGAATTCATTTAAAACTCATATGATAGATTTATATTACTCATTTATATAATTATTATAAAATTCATACAATAGATTTATAAGAACTCATTTAATAACAATTAAAAAAACAATTATATTATAAAGTTTTATAAAACAAGCTACTTGTAAAAATTGTAAGAAAATTTTTTTTAAACAAATTAAAAAAAGAAAAATGTCAGAATAATTAAAATATATATTTATATAATATATATTTTCTTTCTAGATGCAGCTGTACATACAACCTACTATAACAAAGGAAATTACAAAACGCTTACTTATACTTTAAAAAATACTCAACAAAGTCAATATCATAAGCATATTTAATAATTTGAATAATATTTATTGTAAACAGTTCCTAAGTTTTTTAAAAATTGAGTTGTGTAACTTAGAAGTTAATTTGAAAGTATCAAACTCTTTCACAATGCATTATAAAAATCTTTTTAAACTGTTTATCGTTCTCTAACTCTTAATTCAATGTATATCAAATTTACATATCAGATGATATTTTTATTCACAAAGAAGAGAAATGAGTAAACTTTGTAATAAAAGCCAAGAATATTTTTCCGCTCTTGTTTATATATATATATATATATATATATATATATATATATATATATATATATATATATATATATATATATATATATATATATATATATATATATATATATATATATATATATATATATATATATATATATATATATATATATATATATATATATATATATATATATATATATATATATATATATATATATTCATTTTAAAATTCTAAAACTGTAAAAAAAATAGTACACTATTTTCTTATTTCAATCATAATTAATGCAAACCTCTAAACTTGAATTGTGAAATGGCGAGTTAGATATTGTGCATTCCACACCAAAATCAATGTCTAAATTTATAAAACAATTTCAAAACACAATATTTTCCCATGATATAGAAAATGTATGATTTTGGAATCTTCTTTTCTATAAAGCTTTCTTTTTTTTAAAAAAAAAAAGAGTATACCTTCTGCAGCTTCATACGATGCCATGTTTTTTATTGTAGGAGAACAAGCCTTAATATAATATATAAATAAGCATATTTTTATTTATTGTTAAAGATAGCATGATAATGTAAATTTGGGACTCAATAATATCAATGTATTATTTTTTGAAAAAAATGTAAGTGTGAATCCTACTTGCATCTAGTGTTCCCCTATGAAAAGGATTTTCATGGGATGTTTCATTGATATTACAGGGTTCCCACAGAAAAAAAATATTAAAATTCCAGGACTTTCCAGGACAATTTTCCAATTTTTCCAGGATGTTTGACAAAAAATTCAAGGACGTTCAATTTAACTTAAGTTCAGCAATTTTAGTTAAAAAAAAATTAAAATTAAAATTAAATAATTTTTATTCGAAATTAAGCAATAATAAAACTCATTCAAAGTCTCCTAGTATAAAATTTTTACCAAAAAACCAATGTTACTAAAAAATAAGACAAATTTTTTTTTAAGAATATATTTTATAAATTCCAGGACTTTTTCAGGATTTTATGATAAAAAAATGAAAATTTCTAGGGCTTTCCAGGACACTAGTCAAATTCCAGGACTTTCAAGGACTTTCCAGGACTGTGAGAACTCTCTATTAAGAAGATCATGTTTAAAAACTTTAGATTCTTTACATATTTACAAAAGTTGTCTTGTGCCACTGAACGACCATGAAGGTACACTACTGCTAAACCACTGGTTTGTTTGTCATTGACAGTTAAAAATATAAGTTTAGTTTAATTCATGCATAGCATTGCATAGAAAAAAAAAACCCTAGACATCTAATTAAAATCAACAAGGTTTTCCGAATCAGTATCACAAAATTTACCAGAAGTATTACATTTCTAGAACAAAATTTCCATTGATAGTGTTACACTTTCTTTTTTAACCGTTTATATTTACATATATTTAAATATATATTTTTTAATTATAAATATCAGTGATTTACCTTTGATTTGTTTCTTTTTTGATGTTTCCTTTTTAATTCCTGTAAGGATTTAAGTATAAGTTAATAAATAATTTAATATATTTTTAAAATTTGATGTAAAAAAATTTACTTCAGTATGCCAAATTAAATTGTCAACACCGTAGAAGTATAGTATTTCTTCACTGGCTCGATATCCTTTAATGCAAACAAGCATAAAGATGGAGTGTTATTCAATACAACTTTTTTCATTATAGCATTTGGATAATATTTTGAACCATTGAAATAACAGCCAATATAATTAAAATGAAATGTGGCTTCAATACTAAAAAAAAACAATAAAACATTAAAACATCAACTTATTTTAGTAAAACAGTAAAATTAATTTGATAAAAATTAATGTTACCTGTACTTAATATTATTGTGTAGAAAGTCATAAACATAACTACCAGCATTAGTTTTTTCATAATATTGTATTTTGTTGTTCTTTTTTTTTTTGGCACTAAGTCTCCTCTGTATTGGGTAATGAATTGACCTTTTTGAATTTTTTCAAAAGAAAAGACGCCAAAACCTTTATAGATAATGTTGATTTAATTGGTTTTTAAAATTAATTGTTACATTGTTATACCTTTTTTTGAATGTTTTTTATATAATTGTATTATAAAATGACATAAAGTAAGCTTAAACAGCTCTTTCCAAATCATAAGATATTTTACAGAAAATGATTGTAAGTTTTAATGGGACATTATTATTAGAAAACAACAATCCCAGCTATAAGTACAGTATCATTATTATATATTTATATTTCTTTATTGTTTTTATGGCCAATATCTTGTTGTTGTTAAACCTATTTTGAATGTTAATTTATGCTAAATATATTTAAAGAAATAATCAAAATAATAATTCCTAATAATGATTCGAACTAAGTAAATGATATGTATAAAATCATATATTCATTGTAAAAATTGGAAAAAAATTTGGAAAATGAAAGAAAAAAAACTAGAAAATTGTCAAAAAAATTTATGATCAATTGAGTCACAATAATAATAAAAAAATAATTTATTTACCTTTTGTTTTATCTACTTCTTTTTTGTATAAAGTGTGTGGGTCTTTTTCCATTTCTATATAGTGTTTTGCTGTTTCAATTGGAGAAATACGTCTTTTCTGTAATAGTGTTTTTTAAAACTATTATTCTTATCGTAATTTATAATTTCAGAAACCTGTTAAGAGTTCTTTATGAAAAAATTAAATTGTTTCCAAAAAACAATTTGGTTGATATTTTTTTTTTAAGCAAAATAAATTTTAAAATCTTTTTAAAAAAGTGCTCTTAACGGTTCTCTGAAATAAATTATTTAAATTATTGTCTATATATTATATTTTGTTTTTAATCAATTCTGTTTTTTAGAAGGATTTTTTTTTTTTTAGCACCTGTACTTCCAACAAGGCTACAAGCTATTGAAACTCAGTATTGAAATTCAATGTTTCAAGTTACTTGAAGAGCCAAGATTTTGGAAATTTTATACAATTAATTAGTAAGAGTAATTAAATAAGATTAACTTTACGAAATATTCACAAACTTAATAAATTAAATCCTACAATTCAAATCAATTTTCAAGTTTCAAATTTTTATTTTGAAGAGAATTATAACAAATTTCTATTGTACATTGTAATTTATATTTATATTTTGTTTTTATATTGTAACCGTTTTAGGTGATTTAGGAATTTAGCAAAAGCTACATTAACTAATTTTTTTCTTTCATTTGATTGATTGTAACTCTTTTAATAGCTAAAATATTAAAAATATATTTTTGTATTGCAGATACCATATATTACTTATATAAATATATTATTGCTAGAAACTTTAGCTTTCCAGATTTTAATTCCAAATTTTTGTGGATTCACATTTATCAAGTAGTTATAAAAGTTTCCTGGAAATTTTCAAGTCAGGTTTAGGGTTAGTTTTGGAAATTTTCAAATAATTGCGCAGAGTTGATTTTTTTTGGAAACTTTGAAAATTTTGGAAATTTTCAAATAATTGTGCAGAGTTGAATTTTTTTTTTTTTTTTTTTTTGACTATTTTTGGAAATTTTGATCAAATATTATTAAAACTTTTCTTGTAATTTTTTATTCTTATGTATTTTGGAATAAAATATAAATTATCTAAATATAATAATGATGACGTACAGGAGCGTCTATCATCACCAAGCCTCATGAAGCAACCCACTTCCCTCTGTTCCCCCAAGAAGCGCTTTGAAAGCGCTTATTTCCAAGATATAAAAGGCGACGTGCTAAACTTGTTAATATTAATGTTCTAAGTGTCATCGGAAAATTCATCAAATCATTTCATTGAACTTTGTTTTTACCCTATAATAGAGCTATCACTTACTAAATACAGCCGTTCCTTTTATATTTTATATAAACATGACCCCTCCCCCCAGTTTTGAGTTAAAGTTACAATACCTCCCCCATCCCCAGTTTGTATGAAGCCGCTGCCTCTTCAATAAACAGTATTAGACGCGTATGGCGCGTATGATTTTTTGAAATTTTAATTATTACCTCAGAGTAAAGTAGTGGTACCTAGTAAAATCAAATTATTATTATTTTATTTTTTTGATAATTTCGGAAATTTTGAGCAAAATTTCCTGAAAATTTTATCACTAATATCAAGTAATAAAGTAGTTGTGAAATCAAAATACCAAAACCCAATTACGTCCCTAGATTTCATTTTTTAATACTTTTTTATAGAAATCAATTTTATGTCTTATTCTTATTTGCAGTTGTTTTATTTTTTAGATATTTGTACAACTCTGGTAAGAAATGATGTTTTTAGAAAGTATATGGGACTCTTAACAGATAAAAATATTTAACAGTAACAAATTAAAAACAAGCATTTACATTTTTCATGGGTACTCGTTCTTCTGGCATTGATTTCCAGCCCAGCTGTATTGCGTTTATTATTGTTTGTATTTCTTGGTTATTTTCTTTTTACAAAACTTTGAGTAAATCAGCATCAGGTCTTATATTGTGTTTGAGTGCCTGGACAAGAAAAACATCGTTGATAATTGGAAGATTATTTTCCCATAATGAACTAAAATAAAATATGTTCGAAAGAATTTCAAAACTTGAAATAGATAATGCGTAAATGTCAGTATACACTGAAAGTTTTGGATTTTGATTTAAAAGTTCTGGTGCCACATACCAAAGTGTTAATCCTTTTAAAGAGTTGTTATTAGTGCAAGTGATTGTATTTTTTATAGTGGTCATATCACCAAAATCTGATATTTTTATTATCAGATTTTCAATAGACCCACTAACTAACATATTGCTTGGTTTAATATCTCTATGAATGATGTTTTTTTCATGGAGATAAATTATACCCTTAAACGCTTGAATTATATACGAAGTTCTTTCTTCTAAATTGAAGTAATCGTTATCGTTATAAATAGTAACAAGCTCCTTTAAGGAATAAGCAACAGTGTCGTGGACTTTCACACTGCATAATTCAAAACATAGAGCTGACGGTCTAAGACTATATCCCACGAAGTTAACAATATTTATATGTTCCAGTTGCCTTAGTTCATTGCATACTGTTAAAATTCGTTTTTTTCCAAACTGGGTATTGAACACTTTTAGCGCTAATGGCTCTCCTTTAATCGACGATTTGTAAACTTTGGCAGCACTGTCTTCACCGATTAATTTCGAGAAATTTAATGGCAAATTAGAGACCTCCAAATGTTGTACTCTTTTTTCCAAATCGGAAATTTTAAATGAAAAAAAACTCATCTTTTTAACAAATTACTTAAAATAAAAAATTTTATTTTATAAATAAAATAATGCATTGCTATATTTAGTAGTGTTAATGAGGCCTCTTATGTTCACGAAATGCGCATTAAATGTTTGAATATTTTACTGTATTCACGTCGAATATGTTTCATGTATTCATAAAGTTTTTGCGCGGGGAGTGGTCTAATTTAGTTAATTTTTTCTATAAGTACCGTAAGTTTTTAAGTTTTATTAGGTTATATAAAAATTTGTGTTATATGCGGCTGTACGAATAATACGTGATATTTTCGAATAATACGTGATATAAGTTAATGATGTTACGTATTGTTTCAACAGTCATCATAAGATGGCATTTAATTTTAACTTTTGAGAAAGAAGTTTAATTTTTTTTAGTGGATTAAGAAAGACCCGGCGTCAACATTTGCTAACATAAGTCAATTTGGGGCAATCAAACCGGAATGAATCAAAACACAACAACAAAAAGTATAATTTTATGCTACCTTTACTGTTATAATCACAAATGTTTGTTTTTTTCTGACTTTAATATCTAATTAATATATCACGTTTAGTTTCTTACCTCCTCATATTTATTAAGTTACCTTAAAGGCCGTTTTCCACAAGACGAAAAATTCGCGCGAAGCGAATATTTTCGTCGTTAAGCAAACATTTTTGGCGATTATACTGATTTTTTTTCGCTACAGCGTTTCGTTGCAGCGAAAAAAAAAGTCGGATTCATTTCGACTTTTTGCGAATCGCCATAAGCGAAAACCAATAAAATTTTGAATATTATATCACGTGATGTCAACATTAAAAAAAAGCGAAAACATGTTGTTTTTAAAGTAACAAAAAACAAAATTCTTAACCTGGCGTTCTTATTAATTTTATATGAACTTACTCTGAAAATTGGCTAGCATGAGTAAATTTATCAAACAAGGGGCATGACTTGCATAAAAAAATGACCAGACTTATATATAAAACTAAATCGAAAATTTACAAATACAAATTTTCACACTGTCAATTACGAAAGTTACACTTCGTAAGAATGTTTATCTTCAAGTGGCCACACGAAGATAAACCTTTTTGTGAAAAATTCTTTATAGAGTTAAACCTGCTGTTCGTTCTTGCAGTAATAGTTTTTAATAGAAATGTTCATATCAGAGTTTAGCATTTATTTTCTTATACTTTCTTGTAAAAAAAAAACCTTATATTAAACGATTCTATTACAAAATAATAACATATCTTACATATAAAGGCAGAAATGTTAATATTAATGCACGGAAAGAAATTTTCACATGCTTCAAAGTAGAAAGTATGCTAAAAAAGTATTAACTGCTTTAAGTTAAACATACAGCGTCAACTTATTGCTGCCATTTTTATTGTTGACAACGAAAAAAAAGTAGCGCGAAAGAAAGTAAGTGGAAATCAAAGCAGCGTTTCGTCGTAGCGAAAAAATTCGCGCGAAGCGAATTTTTTCGTCGATAAGCATGCGCAGATTAAACATTTTTTGATTTTTTTTTGCTACAGCGTTTCGCTGCAGCGAAAAAAAAAGTCGGTTTCATTTCGACTTTTTGCGAATCGCTATAAGCGAAAACCAATCAAAGTTCAAATATTAATCACGTGATGTAAACAGTTAAAAAAATCGAAAGCACGTTTTTTTTTTTAAAAATGGCAGCAACAATAATGAACAACAACAACAACAATGAACAAAATGCTCAACTTATTATTGATTTACTAAAAATTCAACCTGAACATTTGCAAGCATTATTAAGTTCATCAAATAAAGATAAAATTCAAAGTTCCGAAGGTTTCACTTTACAAGAAGGTTTATCTTCGTTCAAAGTTGAAACATCTGTTGCTTCATACAGTAACATTTTTTCCACAGAAGTTTTCCTATCAGAGGTTAGCATTTATTTTTTTAAACATTCTTAAGAAAAATTATATCAAATACTATTTTTGAATAAATTGTATTAAAAAATTATACTTTAATTCAATTATTTACCATATTTTCAGATTAGAAAGTATCCATGTTTGTGGGATGTATCTCATCAGTCATACAAAGATAGAAGTGTTAAAATGAACGCTTGGAAAGAAATTTCCACATCTTTTGAAACAGAAAGTAAGTAAAAATAGTAATTATAGGTTGTAGATAAACATTAGTTGTATATACATACACTTAAATGTTTATTTTTTGTGTGTTTCAGTTTTGCAAAAAAAATTAAAAAACCTAAAAGATACTTTAAAAAAATGCTTCGACAAACGTAATAAGATGACTAAATCAGGTGCTGGTGCATCAGCTTTACCTAAATGCAAATACTATGAAGAAATGTTATTTTTACATGATAAGAACAACAATATTTCAACTCAAAGTAATTTTGAATTAGAAGAAACTATAACTGAAAATGAAGATCAGATTGCGACTCCAATTGCTGTAAAAGCCAAAAAAAGGAAAATTAGCAATGAGGCAGATAAAAAAATAATGCAAGAACTTTCAAACTTTGATAACGAGCTAAAAAAAGTTATGACTGATAGTCAATGTGAAGACACATTATACTGCCAAAGTTTAGTACCGATATTGAAATCTTTACCGCTTAAAAAAAAAGAATAGCAAAAATTAAAATATCTCAATTGTTGTATAAGCTTGAATTTGATGAAAAATGTGAATAAAAAATAATTTTTTTGTGTTATTTATTTTGTAAACAAAGAAAAATATCGGTTTTAAATTTAAAACTTTTAGTCTTTTTGATAAGAAGTATTGTTTATTAATGACCATTGCCAATCAACTGCCCCGTCAGTATTAAAATATTTTTTGAAGTTGTTTCTAATTTTTCGAGCATCTTTAGAATGATTATTACAAGCAGAACTTGAAATATCTTGTAATCCTTGTACATCGCCGATTTCTTTTCTCGATTCGCCAGGTATTAATTCATTTGGACCATCCTGATCAATATAAGTATTTGGACAATAATCTTAATTAGGACTTTCCTTCCTTTTTGACATTAAAAAATTGTGAAGTGCGACAACAGCTTTTGTTATAAGCACGACTTTTTTTGTTGAAGCAATAATAGGTTATCTGAAAATCCGAAATCTGGATGCAGCTATACCAAATGCATTCTCAACTATTCTCTTGACACGCGACAATCTGTAGTTAAATAATCTTTTTTTGTACGAAAGATTACAAAATGGATAAGGTTTCATCATTTGAGGCTTTAAACCAAATGCATTATCTCCAACAAACACGTAGGGCAATATTGTTTCAGTACCATTTACTTTACATGCTTGAGGAATGTCAAGCAGATCATTTTCAATAGCATAACCAAGTTGACTATTTGCATATACACTACCGTCACTTTGTCTTCCACTATTTCCTATATCTAATAGTGAAAATTGATATTTTGCATTGCACACAGCCAAAAGAACAATACTATGTGTCTTTTTATAGTTATAAAACGATGAGCCAGAGCATGCAGGAGCTTGCATAACTACATGCTTTCCATCAATAGCACCTAAGCAATGGGGAAAATTCCATTTGTTCTCGAAGTCAGTAGCTATTTTTTTCCATTTTTTTTCAGAAGATGGTGGATCTATGTATTTCTTTTTAAAAAGTGATACCCATATGGCTCTACATGTTTCACTTATTATTCTTCCGACAACTGAAGGACTCATGCGGTAGTTCATAGCTATTGTTGTCTGTGCGTCACCGGTTACCAAAAAACGCATTGTAACACAAAATCTTTCTGGAGCAGATATACAATCTCTCATATGTGTAGATTTCTTTCTAATCAACGGACACACCCAAGACAAAAGTTCTTCTAATATTGTTGGAGACATACGAAAATAACGAAAAAATAGTTCGTGGTCAAACAATTTTAAATCTTTAACAAGAAGATTATATTCTCCTTTCTGTTTACGATCTAAATAAAATTTTCTTATCCAAAATCGCTTTTTATACTTTTTTTGCGATTTGTTTCTTATATGCAATAAAAACTTTAAATAGAGCAATATCTTTTTTAAAAGCATGCAGCGTAAATTTATAGCTGCCATTATTTATTATTAAGTAGCGCGAAAAAAGTATCGCGAAAATGTGGAAATCAAAACGGCGTTTCGTCATGACGAAAAAATTCGCTTCGCGCGAATATTTCGTCTTGTGGAAAACGGCCTTTACTTTCTTTCGCGCTACTTTTTTTTGTTGTCAACAATAAAAATGGCAGCCAAAAAAGAAGTTATTACTTTTTTAGCATACTTTCTTATTTGAAGCATGTGAAAATTTATTTCCATATTAACATTTCTGTCTTTATATGTAAGATGTGATATCATTTTGTAATATAATCATTTAATATAAGGTTTTTTTTTACAAGAAAGTATAAGAAAATAAAATGCTTAGTCCTGATATGAACACTTCTATTAAAAAACTGTTACTGCAAAAACGAACCGCAGGTTTAACTCTATGTAGGGTTTTTCACAAATAGGTTTATGTGGCCACTTGAAGATTAACTTCTTATGAAGTGTAACTTTCGTAATTGACAGTGTGAAAATTTATATTTGTAAATTCTCGATTTAGTTTTATATATATATATTAGTTTTTTATTATATATTAGTTTTATATATGTCTGGTCATTTTTTTATATAAGTCTTGCTCCTTGTTTGATGAATTTACTAATGCTTGCCAATTTTTAGCGTAGGTTTATATAAAATTAAAAAGAACGCCAGGTTAAGAATTTTGTTTTTTGTTATTTTAAAAACATGTTTTCGCTTTTTTACTGTTGACATCACGTGATATAATTTTCAAAACTTGATTGGTTTTCGCTTATGGCGACTCGCAAAAAGTCGAAATGAATCCGACTTTTTTTTTCGCTCCAGCGAAACACGCTGTAACGAAAAAAAATCAAAAAATGTTTAATCTGCGCATGCTTATCGACGAAAAAAATTCGCTTCGCGCGTATTTTTCGTCGTGTAGAAAACGGCCTTAAGTAATGGCAGTATGGAGTTATTTATACCACTATTTAGTATTTTAGATTCTCTATCGTTTGATTTACCACACAAATTTAATAAAGTAATTAATAAGTTATTGAGATTTTTTTTTTTCAACTATTGAACAAAAACTTATTAGGTATATATTATATACCTATATTAACTATTACGCAAAAATTTATTTGTTCATCATCTCGAAATGATGTTTTTTTTTCCTTGTATACCAACGATATTAAACTTTTTATTATTTTATTAAATTGTTTTTATCATTTTATAGATAAGTCATTTTAAATATTTTTTACTTTTGCTATTAGTTTTGATTAGGTTTATTTTTAGTTATGATTAAATTATCTTTAAGTAATCATTGTTTTAGGGGCATCCATAAAGGATGTCACCATTTTTTAGCCAATTTTTGACCCCCTCTTCCCCCTTCTTTTGTCACCGGTTGTCCTTTTTCCCTATACCCGCCTTGGAAAGGATGTCATAAAATCCTGAATCCATCCCCCCCCCCCCCTATTTTTAACTCCAAAACAATTTATTTCATCTCGCATTGATGTTTGAATCTGCTGCTACACCTTTGCAAAATAAAATTAAAAATATTCTCATACATTATCTTCTTAAAAACACATGTTTACGTAGTTTTCCATGTTAATTAAACTAAAATAAAAAATCTATAAAGTGACGTCCTTTTCTGACAACCTCCCCCCTCCTCTCTTCCTTTTTTATCCTTTTTAACTCGAACCTCTTCCCCCCCCCCCCCCCCCCTATTTAATTAAACTAAAATAAAAAATCTATAAAGTGACGTCCTTTTCTGACAACCTCCCCCCTCCCCTTGTCCTTTTTTATCCTTTTTAACTCGAACCCCTCCCCCCCTTCCTCTATTTGGATGACGTCCTTTATGGATGGCCCCTTAGGAAATATAAAAATTTTTAATAAAACTAAAAACAAACTTTTGCAATTAAAGAATATTTTCCTAATTCTTATCGTTGCTTCTATTTAATTAAGTTAAATATTAATATATATGAGGCTATTAATTAATTGCATTGAGACTTTCTTGCTTTTCCACTACTTGTACGTATTATATTGCCTAAAATGTTGTTGATATTATTATTTTTTTTTTAAGGAGTTTGGAGATAAATAAACTTAGACAAACTTAGAGAAAATCTACAACATAAATATACTAAATTTTTTAAATATCTGCTGAAAATTGATATTTCACTGATTGCCGTGTTACTATTTAAGAGATTGTGACACTAGTCTTTTTTAGCAATATGGGTTATTAGATTTATTCATAAATATTACATATCATCATTACGCGTTATAAATGCGTTGAAAAAAATCAGAAGAAATACCTCACCGGCAAACAAGTTGTCATTTTTATATAATACATGAAAAACCTGTCAGCAAATTTATGTCTTTAATTTTTTAGCAGAATTATATTTTGTGTCCTTTTTTCGATATTTTGAAGCTATATATTTTGCAAGATTTTATTTCAAATGAATCCAAGTCTCTAAACTTTTTTCGATATTTTGAATGCTATATATTTTGCAGGATTTTATTCCAAATGAATCCAAGTCTATTTTTTAAAGTTTGTTTTTTAAATTAAATCAGTGAAAAAGGTAGGGGTCAGTCTTAAAATAATACCAAAAACCTCGTTTAATCAAGTCTTCAGATATTGAAATAAATTTTTTTATAAACTAGGAAACGTTTATGAAACGCCTTTTTTGGACCGATTGCCAGCTGGGTTGGTATTCAAAAAAAGTTATTTAGATTTCAAAACTATCTTTTATATATAAAAATTTTTTTAATAAACTAAAAATACAAGTTTTTTGATAATTTTTTTTCAGTGTTTTACATAAGATTATTATTTTTAAATTTTTTATGGTATTTTTTTGATAATAGTAGGAGCTGTCTGGGGTCGTCCAGTCAATTAATTAAATAAATAATTTGGGCACCATTCTATTGTATATTTTGACCTTTAATCGTTAAAGAGAGGATTATGACCTTTTTTTTTTTTATGTTTCTAGTATTATTAAAAAAATGAATAAGCGATCGTCCATAAAGTATGTTCGCTCGGAGGGGAAGAGGGGGTTTGCAAATAGCGTATATGAGATGGAGGGGCAGTTGATCAATTGTAAAAGTAAGAAGACACTAAATTCAAAAATATAGAAATTGTTGGGTAAGTAGGTTAAAAGCGGAGGTACTTAAAACAAGCTTTTAGCAAAATAGGGGAGGTGGGGGAGGGTCGAAATAAACTTACGCGCTTTATGAACGACCCGATTTGTATTTAAAAAATTCTAAGTATTAGTAAATAAATAAAACCAAAAATTGAGAAAATGATTTTTCGGCGGACCTGTACTCGGCACATCCTAAACTCGGTGAAGTTCGTAAACGAACTCGGTAAAGTTCGAAACAATATTTTTGCCGTTTAATGATTGGCTATTATTAACGAATGAAAATTTAGCACAAAAGTTTTAATTCGCGCTTCAAAACCCAATTTTTTACCGCCTTTAAAATAAGTAAGATGACAGCTTTAGCTGAGTTCATTAAAAGTATCAAAGAAGAAATTGGTTGATTTTTTGCAACAAAAAAGGCTAATGCCACTTCAAAAACTTTGTCTACGTGGTCTAAGGATGCTTCTGCAAAATTATGAAGTCAATTCGAGCAGGATTTTTTGAAAGCTCTACATCTTTAAGTGTAAGT